ATGCCAAGAAGATTCCCCTTGAGAGTCCGCAGTAAGAGACAGACAGAGAGGGAGACAAACACGAAGAGGCCATGCTGATTGGATCACGGGAAGCATGGAAGACAAATTCACCGAGACAAACACTTATTACTACTGAATGTGACTTGAAGACTCCAAGAGGGTCAATAAAATTCTAGAAAGGCCCTGAATTAGCTTTGAGGACTATTATGGCATGGATGCAACGAACTGGTAATGATGAAACAACGGGAGGGGAGGGGGGGTTTACAAGGTTGACTGGAGGGATGAGAAGAAGAAAGGGGAAGAGTGAGACAATCTGTTGGGGCTCATGTTCGCCATCCCTCCTCGTGTCAGATATACCGTTAGTCTGGTTCCAACCAGTGCACGTCACTTCCTCACCCCTGCACGTCGCCCTGCTGAGCCTCTCCATTGTTTTCTATTTGTTGTCTCTTCTTTGCAGACTCCCTCTTCCTTCTTCTGTCCTGTGTTTTGTCTTTAAACGGAGAGTCGTGTGAACAGCCTATGCAAATGAGATGGTTATTACCCCACTGCTCATCAAGCCGCGCAGAGGAGACATTAATAGGCTGATGAATATGCATGTGAATTTGTTAATTAAGTTAATTATTCTGCTGAAAATGCATTCGTCTTCCAAGGACATCTTCCCCAGGATTTCAACCTGCTCCACTCATTAGTCATGCGATATTTCATACACGGAGCGAAAAAGGGGAGAGAGTGAGGCAGACAGTGGGAGGGAGGACGAACGAGAGGGTAGACAATACATTTTCAGTTGGGGCTGTAAAAGTATGGGGTACAAATAATACATTTAATTGTCATCAGCGCTCACAACGGGATTTGCAATAACTACCCATAATAGCAAACCATCACATCTCTTTTCAGTTATGGCACATTATTCCTAAAAAGTCCTAGCAGGAGTTTACACTTTCAGAGTTTTCAGCATCTTTTTTTAGCTGCTTCCACCTCACTGGTTACTACTCCCTAATTGCTTATTAAAACCCTCTTAAATGAACTTTTTTTGCCAACTTTCCAACACATTAATTAATTGTTGTAGCCAATTAAGTGCCGTTGTGCAAATGAGCCTCATCACAAATGGTCCTATAGGGCTAACCCCTCCTCTTTCTATCCCTCTCCCTGTCTCTTCCTCTTTCCTCACTTCACCACCCTCCCCCCCTCCAGTCTTCCCAGCTGCCCCAGCACTTCGAGGCACTCGGTGCCAAAAAAGCAGAAACAGTGTTCTGATAATGCCTCACTGTTTTCTGGACTGTTTCCAGCCTTCACGCTCAAACTTTTCCGCTAGGTGGAAAGCAAAAAGCTCAGTCGATTCTTTAGTTATTCATTTATTTATTTATTTGTCTGGCACGTTTCTACAAGAGCACCTTACAATAGGGCTGCTTTTCAACCAGTCACCAAACCATACAGGAAAATCTGTTGCTTGCACTCGCTGCCTAATTTGTTTGGTGGCCATAGATTGTCAAGCAGGCTTGTATGCATCACCTAGTTTAGCTTTATTCACAGCAGGTGAGATGCCGGTCCACCAGGAGAGGCTGTGAAAAAAGAAGGGTAATCGACTTCAAAGGCGCTCAGTGAGGTTGCCAAGATGTTCACGCATCTTCGTCCCCCGTGTTGGAAACTGAAAACATTCAGAGGAAATCAAACACAAGTGTTTAAGAAGATGTTAGTCAAATCCTTCAACTCAACAATAGAAAACATGCTGGAAACTGGATGTAGGTTGTGTCTAAAAATGCATGAGTATCTGCATAAACAGACCATGTCGTGTAAGAAAATGCACCCATAATGAGCGTGCGCATGCAAAAAAAGATATACGGCATTTTGTTACAGTAATGTAACTTCTACAAGTGAGCTGGTTGAGCTGTCTTTCTTTGTCATCGTCTACAGTTTCAGAAATATATCCTGTAACCTCTCAACGAGTATTGTTCCAAAGCAATAATATTTTACACTTAGCTAAAAATGAAAAGAATACTTGTCTGGATTTGGGTTGTCTAATTTGCCGTTTCTTCGTTTGATGTCATACTGATACGATGATGTTGGGATCCAGGCTGCATGCGGACTGAACCATCTGTTGTAAAAGATGCCTTCTTCTTTTTGTCACAGATGATGGTTCTTTATGACTTTGGGTGAATCTTTGGGATGGATGAGATGC